TCATTCATTCATATCTTTATAGATATCTTCAGTCTTAGTTTTGAAGATGTAAGAGTCTGTATCCATATAGCCAAGTTTAACATCATCCCCATATTTTTCCTTCAAATAACCATACCAGAATTTATACATGTGAAGCTTGTTAAGTCCCAAAACAGATGCTCCAACTATGATAGGCTTGTTGAGAGTCACGCTAGCGTTTCCCATATAAGCACCTACTAATGTAGATCCATGTGGTCTGCCATACTTGAAAGATGGCATGCAGATCTTGTTCAAGAAAGCTTTTTTATCTCGCTCATTATTATTCTTCATAATCTTGACATCCTGGTACTTGCGAACATTTTCCATAGTCTTGCCATATACTTATAACTTCATAAGTTTGAAAAAGTTACTCAGGAATGTATTTCCAGCTTTTTTAGCCTCATTACGTTTCTCAGTATTAAAAGATATATATAGTTCAAGCCAGTTAGTCTGGTCGAAGGAGAGTATCTCTGAAACTTCATCTACAACCATATTTAATTCTACATAATATTGGAGCACTTGGTAATGGATGATATAGTTCTTTCATGATCCAAGATGGAGGACTAATTTTTTTGTGGCAGAGAAGCGTCCACCATCTAATTGTTCTACAAGTTTAGCATTATAAGGACTTAACCAATCCTTTTCTACAGCAATATTTTCTGCGGCTGGAGGTAAGTCTTTTGAATAATCATGAGTCTTTAAAGGAAAATGAGCATTAATATTTAAGAAATACCTTTGTTTAGCATTAAATCGTGTATTGAGAATCTTTTCAAGATATTTCTTCTGCATAGCTGGATTTTTTAATAAATATTTCCGACTAGCTTTCCATTGATATTTTCTGATAGGCAAATATTGACTCATAGAATGTCCATAAAGATTTGTTGCGTCTACATATAATATCCAGGATGTGGGTTTAGATAGATCATAGGCTTCTCCCATTTTGGGATTATTAGCCTTAAAATATCGTTGATAGGCCATAGATATACACCTATGCTTAGCTTTTTCAGTAAAATCATGCATAGTCATATCTGTGAAAAGTTCAATCCTAACTCCTGACACCTTAAGCATTTCATTCCAGGATGATGATGGGGCAGAAACATAGTGACTGGGATCAAGTACATAATATTTCATATACATTTTTCGAAACTCTATCCAGTCATCTGCTAGACTAAGTATGTCAGTTTTAAGATAGAGATCATGGTATTTACTGAGATTTTTACATCTGAATTCCTTCCATACTTTCTGAGCATGTTTGTAGTCATCTTGTGAAATCTTACCTTTAAAAGTACTATAAAATTCATGAATGGGAGGAAATTCTGTCTCCTAAAACCTATCATAAGAATTGATATAGTCATAGAGATAAACTCCTTTGCGATATACTAATGCTAATTGCTTTTCTGTATAACTTAATTTTTTGAAATATTAGCTTGTTATTAGGTGGTTATTACCCAAATTTTTTGTAAGATTGGCCAAGCTACTATTCATGAACTGCATGCTATTTATATATTTAAGTTGACCTACCTTCATAGTCTTATATTGCTCAAATGTTTCGGCTATAACTTGGATATAAAGAGCATTAACTGATCGCCTGACAGACTCACAAAGCAAGTGAGAGTCATAGCTTCAAAAGTTGTGAAATATAACTGGAATTGGGATCTTCCAATTCTGTATTTGGAGTTTGAGATTATAATCCCTATGGGCTGATCCACGAAACTTACCTGTAATATGACAAAGATTCCAGACCTTATTGGCTTTAGCTTTTCACATGCAATTGCCTTAGTCGCTTTATCAATAATTGTTTCAATGCTATTATATTCTGTTGACTCTTTTTAAAGCTTTTTAGTTTTTCTTTAAGATAGGTTATTTTATTTTTTAAGCGCTTAATTTCATCTATATCAATATCAAACTTACCTTTACAGATCCAACAGATAATTGCCTTTGTGTAATTTTCTTGTCTTCTTTGGTCTCAATTCGCTCATGTTTGATGGCTAGAATTTCATTGATTTTGACCAGCTCTTGATCGATTCTTCAAACGAATTCTTGTGTGGCATTTTCTTCCCTATATAGGAACGGATCCCAGACATCTCCAGTATCGATCCAGTAAACCAAATAGCAGAAACTGTTGGCCTTCTGCTCAATGAGTTTAATCATACTTCCACCATATGTCTCATTACATTTCTTATTATCACCCTCAAAGTCAGCTGTAATAATACATGGAGCATTGATCATTCGACCATAGTTTTTGAACTTCTCATAATCATTAACTCCTTTCATTAGCATTGTGACTCTTTGAAGGGCATTTTCATGTATTTCTGAATACCATTCTAAATGATGTTTTAGAGACTTTTCAGAAGGCCAGCTTATAGTACATCCATCACATAAACACTTTTTACCATTATAGGCAGTATCTTTGGAAATTAATCTGTTAATATTCTTAATCCAGAGAAAATGGTTCTTTTGCCCTTATTTACCTGTTTTGTCATCTTTAGTAATATCTGTAAGGACTAATAGACGAATTTTATGTTTTCTTTTAAAGTTTTAACTAGCTATCACAGGTTTTGGTGTAGCTGTTTCTTCTTTTCATTTCCAGACACTGATGGAGATATCTGGATTTATCTCCTCAATCTTATTAAATATACGTGAGCAGATAAGAGTGGGCATTGGGATTCCATCTAACTTGACTATATCTAAATATGGTTTATATTTAGTAACACGAAAGATTCTTTCAAGATGATCTGTATGCCCATCCTGATCTATAAAATAGCAACCTAAAGCATCTTAAAGACATTTTTCAGAAGACTTTTTCGTTTCTGAATCAATGAGAACATAATTATCAGGATTGATAGTACACTTTGTATTAGCTAACTTCTTTGGAGTATGAATATAAGATCCTCCTGTTGCTTGTTTGCATTTATATACCTCAATAGTTATTTCAAGAATTCGTTCGAGAACAGATCCAGATCCCTTTTTTAATGTTTTCTCAATCTGATTATCTATTTCTCCAGCAGATTTGGTTATATGCTCATATATATCATTTGTTAAAAGTAAATATTGCATCTTTCCTCTTTCATGATTTTCTATATATGATGTATCACTTGTTCCATCTGGGTTTCTTTTAGTAATTGAATACAGACACAATGCTACTATAGCTGATTTTATTTAATCTTTTCTACGAAACTCTATTTGAAGAACTTCTGTTATTTTCAGTCTAATTAATCCCATAAGTTGAGCATGTATGGAATTTCTTTATATTGTATAGGATCAGTTATTGGTTGAATAAAAGCATATTTAGGGTTGTTTCCAGAATGAGGAACTTTTCCTATCCATTTGCTTATTAAAGATCGATTTTTATATGGTCTTTCTAGATCTCTTCCAACTGAGTATTCTTCAAAGTAAATATCCTCCTGAACGGATCCTTTTAGAATCGTGTCATGCCTCTCAATCTCATCAGGATTTCCCTCTTTTGGTTGGAAAATTTTGGTTTTCTTTTGTTTTTTACTAGATGATTTTTCCATTAAATCGAACCATTCTGCATTTGTTTTGGGTATCTTTTTGTTGGTAATAGTTGGATTGTTTGTTTTTATCTCTGGTTTTGCTAACCAGTTAACCAAATCATCTATAAATAAATTAGTGGTTTGATTCTTCTGTGATTCTGGTTTGGGAATTGGAGTTGGAATATCTACTTCTGCTTGTATCTCTTGAATAATAATTTCAGGATCTGGTCTGCAATGATTTTTATTACTTTTATAATGCTAACAAAGTTTAGCAGGTCTTGTAAATTTATAATCACAATCTTTACAAGTAGAATTTTTCTTATAAATTCTAGGTATGATATTAATAAGTCTCACTTGTTAATTATTGTGTAAACTTTTGTTTAAATAAAAATAATTACCTCTTTGGGTATATCTGCTGTTCACTTTCCTATATTGCAGATAATTTTGTTTAATTAAATTTTTTCTTCCCTATTGTAAATGATAGCATCTTATACTTGCGACTATCTTCATAACTCTAGCAAGACTTATGATAAAGTCTGCACTCATCCTGAGAGATGCTGACTGCATTTTAAAACTAGGAAATGCTGGCCATGCTCTGAATGTGGTAAGCCTACTGCTACAGCTTGTGGACGGTGTGCTGAATATATTAGAGGATATTATGTAATGCAATATTATAATAAATTGCGGAATAAGACTCAGAGATTAGACTTAATAAAAGATGCGACTTAGAATATGCTATGCATGTTAGGCTTCTTTCATCTTTTTATTCTAATTTTTTTGCACTTTATTCTTATAACTTGTGTACATGCTCCACTTCACTCCGCAGACCTTGTATTCATTAATTGTAATACTATTTGCCTTATAATATTAGCATATATTTTAAGATAGTATAGGGTCGAAAAATATAGCATCCACTCTAAAAGAATCCTGCTATATTTTTTCTCCTGTCGAATGCGTATTTACTGGCGTTACCCTAAAGGGCTTTGCCAGCTCATACTTATTCTCCTATATCGAACGCGCATTCATTATCACTCCGCTCCTCCTCATGTTTGTTCTCTCTTGCTACCTAAGCAGTATGCTATTGGAAGGCGATTTGCTTACTATTTGCTCACTTATTACCACTCATATTTGCCTCATATATAGCATACATTAAAATATGATAGCATATGATTGAAACAATATAGCATCTATATTGTTTCTCCTGTCGAATGCATATTCACTGGCATTGCCCTAAAGGGCTTTGCCAGCTCATACTTATTCTTCTATATCAAACGCGCATTCATCGTCGTTCTGCTAATCCTCATGCTTGTTCTCTCTTGCTACCTAAATAGTATGCTATTGGGAGGCAATTTGATTATAATGTATGCGAAAAATTTATGGGTGAGACTTGATAAAAGGTGTGACTT